GAAGCCACAGTGTCTGAGATGGGACCTCATCTGAAAGCCTGGAGCCGTGGCATTGGTTCCTTCTATGTCAAGATAACGAAAGCCGGCAGTCAGCTGGCTCCATTCTATTCCATTCTATTTTGGCTGTTGCAGAAAAACATTCTTCTGTTTCACTGCCTTCTGTTCACAGTCTGTCAGCTCGAAACGTCTCTTCAACAGAGGGGTCCAGCAGGCCCATGCTGGAGTCACTTAACATGTTGAGTCCGTCCAGGCTCAGGGGTTCAATCTGCAGCTCCTCTTCCAGTGGAAATGGAGTGTCCACGTTCAGGCTGACCTCGGGCAGGCCTGCGAGCGCACTGTTGAGGTCTTTGAACAGGCTGGTGCTGGAGTCTTCTGAAAGGGGTGGCCAGAGAGGAAAACAGTACGCTTAGGAGGCATGAAGGCTCCAGGCTACTAAGCAAACCCAGCTGATGATGGTCCCCTAAACTGCCATCCCACATGTCCTGACCACCCCTAGGCCCACAGTTCTTGCCCTGGAGTCTACATTCTTGTCAGTCAGTTGCACAACTCCCAATTTTTGCAGGTTTTTTTTCCTTTTGAACAGTCATCAGTCACCTAAGATGAAATCTTTCTTTTTTTTTGAAACAGAGTCTAGCTCTGTCACCCAGGCTGGAGTACAGTGGCACTATCTCGGCTCACTGCAAGCTCCACCTCCCGGGCTCACGCCATTCTCCTGCCTCAGCCTCCCGAGTAGCTGGGACTACAGGTGCCCGCCACCACACCCGGCTAATTTTTTTTTTGTATTTTTTAGTAGAAACGGGGTTTCACTGTGTTAGCCAGGATGGTGTTGATCTCCTGACCTCATGATCCGCCCGCCTCGGCCTCCCAAAGTGCTGGGATTACAGGTGTGAGCCACCGCGCCCGGCCAGACGAAATCTTTCAGAAAAGGCTTTGACTACCGGGCCCACCGCCCTGCGTCACGGTCTCTGAGGCTGGACACCTGCATCTCAAAGAGTCAAGTTGACCCAGGCAACGTTCGCTTTTTGCTTTATATAATATTATGTTGTTTAAACTATCTTATGAAGGTACCTAAACACACGACAAAATAAAAGCAGTAAAGAAGCTGAGGGGTGGCTCACTCACCTGTCAGGATGGTGTTTGGGAAACTCCCGCAGTTGGAATATGGGCTTGGTCTCAAATGAAAAGAGTCCTGCAGTTCTCGGGAACCTTGTTGCACTAGAGGCACCTGGAAGCATCGAAGGTCACGTGAGGAAGGCCACACCTCTGCTTCCAAGGATTCCGGAAGCGAGTATTGCAATGTGCTCCCAGAGCAAAACTTGATTTGCAAACTAATACATACTCCCTTCTTTCCAGGATCCCAAAGTGTTTTGCTCTTGTGGTGATGTATGTACGATATTCTTGTCAGGCAGGCAGATGCTGGGGTGGAGGAGGGGCCCCTGAGGCCCACAGTGCGGTGACTTTTCCCCAGCCCACTACACCATCCCAAGAGATACCAGTGGTCATGGTTTCTGTGGCCCCTCAGACATGTCTCCTCAGCCTCACCAAGGCCTTTGTAAACTGCCTTCTATGGGAACCCTTCAAAGGCTCTGTCTATAACCAAGAAAGTATGGACTCTTTTCTTCCTTGGTTTCTTTCTTCCTCTTTTTTCTTTAAAGATAGGGTCTCTGTTGCCCAGGCTGGAGTGCAGTGGTGCCATCTCGGCTCACTGAAACCTCCACCTCCCAAGCTCAAGCGATCCATCCACCTCAGCCTCCCAAATAGCTGGGACCACACGCCACCATGCCTGGCTAATTTTTGTATTTTTTGTAGAGACAGGGTCTTGCTGTATCTTACCCAGGCTGGTCTCAAACTCCTGAGTTTAAGCAAGCCACCTGCCTCGGCCTCCCAAAGTGCTGGGATTATGGGCGTGAGCCACTGCGCCTGACCTATTCCCTGGTTTCTAGAAAACTGAGAAAGTGGGAGCCTTTCCTTTTTGCACTCAGAAGGAGGAAACTCAGGCAAGCTTCTCCCTATGAGAAAGCCTCTATGAGGACTGGTTATAACTGTGGCCAATTTTAGGTTCCTTTCCTGAAATTAATTTTCTAAGCCATTTAAAAAAATGTCTCAAAAGAAGAAGTTTCCGTCATTTTTCAGGGAGACACTGATTCCCATCTAGACTAAAATGGCTCTTTAGAAAACAGGGAGGCAAGGAGGATTGGTTCTTGCCACAAAGCTTCATCTGTGGCCTACTTAGGAAACAGCTATCTTAATTTATTTGATTATTATTAAGTTCTTGGCCGGGCACAGTGGCTCACACCTGTAATCCCAGCACTTTGGGAGGCCAAGGCGGGTGGATCACTTGAGGTCAGGAGTTCAAGACCAGCCTGGTCAACATAGTGAAACCTATCTCTACTAAAAATACAAAAATTAGTTGGGCATAGGGGTGCACGCCTGTAACCCCAATTACTCAGGAGTCTGAGACATGAGAATCGCTTGAACCCAGGAGGTGGAGGTTGCAGTAAGCCGAGATCATGCCACTGCACTCCAGCCTGGGCGATAAAAAAAAAAAAAAAAAAAAAAAAGTTCTGGAAACTGTTCAACCCTTCTTCCACTCCTTAATCCATCGGACGGTCCAGTCCATACTTATTGAATACTATTGAATACCATAAAATCTAGGAATATTAAAAATAGTCAAGTTAGGGAGAAACTAAACTGTAAAAGCAAGTGGCCCAGTTGAAAATACCTTACAGAAGGAGCTCCCCTCACTGCCCAGGACTGAGCTCTCCCCAGGAGGCTGCACGCTGTGCTAGGTGCACCAGCCTGGGTGCAGGCAAAATGTGGCGCCACCTTCTGACCCTGCGGAGGGAGCAGGTGCCGCCCTCCCTATGCCTCAGTTTCAACATGAGGGCACTGAGGAGGCAGGTGCTGTGTCCCTTCCAGTGTTCATGATTTTACAGTTCTACAACGAGAGTGTCATCAAAAATCTCCTGCCAATTATTCCAATAGTTCCTCTGCTGAAGCCTGATACTAAATAACACAGCCAAAGCCAGCGTTTTAGGGCCAAAGAAGATGAAAGGCTCTTCTAGCCACAGAACACATCCAGAACCAGGGAAGTGGCATGTCTGGTCTGCTTGGTTCTGAGTTCTACACAATGAACAACCTAAATGGTACAGTTTACGCACCAAGGGAGGGGAAGGCAGGGGTGATCCACCCACCTGTTGAGGAAAGGCAGGGCCTGGCCTCATGGACTGCTGGTCAAAACCCACATCTGGGAAGAAGTTGGTCAAAGATGAGCCCTTCAGAGAGTAAGGAGGTGACCATTTAGCTTGGAACTCAGAGCAAAACAAGCATTCCCTCCGCACCAACGCTGCTGCCAGGACTCACCTGGGCTGGGAGAAGCTGAAAGTCCGACTGTGGCAGTGAGGAGGCTGCCTGGGGCTGCTGGGCAGGGGCCTCAGGGGTGCGGGGCTGCTGCAGGAGGGGCTGGGTGAGCTCCTGGGGCGCAGGGTAAGGGGGTGGCGGGGACACCTGGGCTTGAGCTTCTGTGGGCAGGAAGGAAAGTTGGCTTCGGTCTGAGGACACCATCTGCAAAACAAACACACAAAGCCACTAACAAGCTTCTGCGTTTCTAGTGTTAAGTCCTTTAGGATTAGGAAATGTCAGAGTGAGAGGAAGCCTGAGATTTTCCTCACCGCGGTGTCCTGTGCAATGCTCTTCCTTTAAAGTATATCTCAAATTTTACTTCCCTACAAAGCATGTTCCATTCAATGACAAGTTCTATTGTCTTAAAAGAACTAAACAAGAAAACAGTCAATTTAACCAATTTCCTTTCAGTTTTCTCTGTGAAAATCATGTTTTGTTTTGTTTTTTTTTATAGCCATGTCTTCTGGTTAAAAGTGGAAGATTGAAAAAGGCCCTTAGCTCTGCCATCTCCCCAAACCCTGTTAAGACACTACAACAACATTAACCAGCAATAAGCATTAATAAATAACACTAAACAATAACACAGAACACTAAATGATAACAAACAACATGAGGACAAAGATAACGGGAGAGAAGAAAATGGCAACAAAAGCTAGCAAATGAGAAGCAGATGGCCAAATGGTAACTGGCTTAGCAGAACTGAGAAAACCCAATGCTAAGCTGGCAGTGAGGAAAAACCAGGAGGCAATCTCATTTACAGCACTAAATCCCCACAGGGCTCTGGGATTGGGGACAGCAGGGAGCAGGGGCTGAAGCTAAAACCAGGAGGTTCTGGTCAAAGTTTGTGTAAGGGGCAGTCGGACCTGCAGAGCCCTTGCCTTGAGTGTGCTTCTGCACACTGGCCCCCACCACCCTGCCGCCTGCCAGGAGACTGGAAGGCTCCACTCCTGAGAGAATAAAACTAAGGGACTCTGGATATTAGAAGGTGAGGCACTTTACTGAAAACACAGGGTTTAGAAGCAATTTCATGATCAGATCTTAAGATCTCCACCTTTCTTTCCCAACCTGGCTCTCAGGATGCTGGAATCCAGATATGCCGAGGTGGGGCGTTGGAAGAGTGTCCTTTAGGGAACCTGACAAGGACTGAGAGAGAAAATCTCTCTTTTTTTTTTTTTTTTGGGAGACAGAGTCTTGCTCGGTCACCCAAGCTGGAGTGAAGTGTCACGATCTTGGCTTACTGCAACCTCCACCTCCTGGGTTCAAGCAGTTCTCCTGCCTCAGTCTCCCGAGTAGCTGAAATTACAGGAGCATGCTAACACGCCCGGCTAATTTTTGTATTTTTAGTAGAGACGGGGTTTCACCATGTTGGCCAGGCTGGTCTAGAACTCCTAACCTCAGGTGATCCTCCCGTCTTGGCCTCCCAAAGTGCTGAGATTACAGGTGTGAACCACCGCGCCTGGCCAGAGATCATAAAACTTATGACACCAGAAATTTCTCAAGGAAATGACCAAGCTAGACCATTCTACAATGAAGACCACACTCAGCAGGGCTGCCCACATACACAGAGCTGCCAGCCAGCTTCTCAGTGTCCTGTTTTCTTTCTTTTTTTTTCTCATTTACATATTTTTATTTGGAAATGTTTATATTAGTACAAGGAAACAATTTTGGAGACACTGGATGTCATTAGTTATCACTAGTTTATTATAAAAGAGAAATATGGAAATTATTTACATGATGAAAGATTTCAGAACTTCAGTGGCATGGGCAGCTTCACATTGATGCCATTTCAATAGTGACTTATTTCAGTCTATGTACTTTCCAAGAATGTCACCGTCTCTGAATAGGAAATAATCCTTGTCATCTAGAACTATTTTGGTGCCTCCATATTCTAGGAGAAGAACTTTATCTCCAACTTTCATGCTAACTGGCTGAATCTCTCCACCCTTTCCTTTAGATAACCCGATCCAACAGCGACAATTGTTGCTTGCAATACTTTTCCTTGCGATTTTTCTGGAAGCATAATGCCTCCTTTGGTTACAGTTTCAGCAGCACTCCTTCCAACCAATACTTGGTCAAAGAGTGGAAGAAACTTTCTAAACGCTTGTCCCGCCATGACTCCCTTCGCCTCAGACTCGTACTCTGCTCTAGCGTAGCGCTGCAAGGAGAGAGCCCCTCAGTGTCCTGTTCTTAAACGTGAGCAGAGCACCAAAGATCACCAGGCCCCGAGGAAACTATCTTCCATGAAAGTCAGAAGCCAAAGCAGACACACACAATCTTGGAAAGATGTGTGCAGGAAGAAGTAGTTGTGAAAAAACAAAATCAGCATGACAATATTTAGGCTACTAAGAAAATCCTTATCTATTAGAGATACATATTGAAATATTTGCAATTTTTAAAAGCAGGGTATGGATGAAACAAGATAACAAAGCTGGCATGGTGGCTCACGCCTGTAATCTCAGACTTTGGGAGGCTGAGGCGAGTGGGTAACCTGAGGTCAGGAGTTCGAGACCAGCCTGGCCAACGTGGTGAAACCCCGTCTCTACAAAAATTAGCCAGGTATGGTGGCGTGGACCTGTAGTCCCAGTTATTTGGGAGGCTGAGGCCAGGAGAATGGTTTGAACCTGGATGGTGGAGGTTACAGTGAGCCAAGATCACACCACTATACTCTAGCCTGGGCAACAGAGCAAGATTCCATCTCAAAAAAAAAAAAAAAGTTAATTGTTGAGGCTAGATGATGGGTATAGGAGGATTTATTGTATTATGTTCTCTACTTTTCATGCAATTAAAAAATTTTATTATAAAAATAAAGATAAATTAGAAAAAAATGACCACTAAAAACCTTAGAGAGAAAAATATGATATTGCATCTGTGGAATATGTATGATGCTGTTAAAAAGGAACACTGAGAGAACAAAAAAGAACTCATAGCAATTTAAAAATTGAGAGCAGAAATGAAAAACTCAACAGAAGGGTTGGAAGATAAAGCTGAGATACTCTTTCAGAAAGCAAAGCAAAACAAACAAGGAAGCAACTACAGAGAAGGAAAAGAGGAGAGAGAGAAAATAAGGATATTAGAGGAAAAGTCCAGGATAGTCAACATTCATAGAGTTCCAGAGAGAGAACAGAGAAAACTGAAGGGAAGAAATCACTGAAGAAACTTTATTTCAATGTTCTTTAACATTTCCCAGAAATGAAGGCTGTGAGTTTCCAGATTGAAGGAACCTACCAAATATGCAGACTCACGCCAAGCCACGTTATCTTGAAGTTTCAGAACATTGGGGACAAAAAGATCTTACGAGCCTGGGGCGGAGCGGGGGATTCCATGCAAAGTGTTAAGAGTCAGAATGGCACTGGATTTCTCAATAGCAACTTAGAAATGAAAAGGCAATCGATTCCAAGGGAAAATTATTTCAAATTTAGAATTCTATATTCAGCCAAATAATAATTAAATGGTAGATCAAATAAAGACATAATAAAGTCATACAAAGTCACAGGCACTCTTTCCTATAGAGCTACTAGAGAATTTATTTTTGAATGTACTGAGATCTGCCCAACTCCGAGAGTTGGGGACTGAATTAGTAATACACAGAAATACATGCAGATAACCAGGCTCACAAAAAAGTCAGACATTTATTAACTCCCAGGAGGAAAAAATTCTCATTTTCTTATTTCATGGTATACTATATGTCAACTCTAACTACATTGTAACTATAACAACACTAAATATTGAGTATTGCTCTAACCAAAATTATAATAAATGAGGAGGGTGGGTAGGAAATTGTGTGTGTGTGTGTGTGCGCTCATGTGTGCACATATGTGTGTGGTGGGGTTTGTGGGAGAGTGGAAAGAGAACTAAATTCTAACCTTCATTGGTAGGATGTCATTAGATAATTCCTAACACCAAAAATGTAGAACAAAAAATGCATAAAACAACATGGTTAGGCCGGGTAAGGTGGCTCATGCCTGTAATCTCAGCATTTTGGGAGGCCGAGGCGGGTAGACTGCCTGAGGTCAGGAGTTCGAAACCAGTCTGGCTAACATGGTGAAAAATACATCTCTACTAAAAATACAAAAATTAGCCAGGCGTGGTGGCACACACCTGTAGTCCCAGCTACTTGGGAAGCTGAGGCAGGAGAATCGCTTGAACCTGGGAGGTGGAGGTTTCAGTGAGCTGAGATCGCACCACTGCACCCCAGTCTGGGTGACAGAGCAAGACTCTGTCTCAAAAATAATAATAATAATAATAATAATAATAATAATAATAATAATAACAACAACATGGTTATACCAAAGAGATTAACTAACATGGTTGACGGTAGCCATCTCTAGACAGTGAGAAATATGCCTAATGACGGGGAAAGACCACTGTTTTTCTGTAACAAGTCCTTTAGAACTATTTGACGTTTTAAACTACATGCATGAGTAACATTCACTTTTCAAAATTTCCTTTTTTTAAGAGATAGGGTGTCACTATGTTGCCAAGGCTGGTCTTGAACTCTGGGCCTCAAGCAATTCTCCAGTCTCTGCCTCCTGAGTAGCTGGGATTACAGTCAGAACCACTGTGTCCAGCAACATTCATTAAAAAAAAAAATCTAAATATTAAACAAATTAAAAACACATCTGAAAGGGGACTGGCCAGTCCCCTTAAAACGTAGCTAAAGCAAGAATGCTTTTAGATCTTATAAAAGAATCTTGCAAAATAAAATTAGAGGCAATTCAATAACATAAGAACCATGAAAACAATAATTATGGACTAGCCTGGGCAATATGGTGAAACTCCATCTCTACAAAAAAAAAAAAATACAAAAATTAGTTGGGTGTGATGGTGTACACCTGTAGTCCTAGGTACCTGGGAGGTTAAGGTGGGAGGATCACCTGAGCTCAGGGAGTTCAAGGCTACAGTGAGCTGTGATCGTGCCACTGCACTCGAGCCTGGCTGAGAGTGAAACGCTGTCTCTAAAAAAAATAAAAATAAAAATTATGGCAGGGCACAGTGGCTCATGCCTGACACAAGGCACACTGGCTAATTCCAGCTCTTTGGGAGGCTGAGGTGGGAGGATCACTTGAGCCCAGGAGTTTAAGACCAGCCTGGAAAACATAGGGAGACTCTGTTTCTTTCTTTTCTAATTTTAACTGAGACAGAGTAACTCTGTCACCCAGGCTGGAGTGCAGTGGTGCAATCCTGGCTCACTGCAAACTTCCGTCTCCAGGGTGCAAGCAATTCTCATGTCTCAGCATCCAGAGTAGGTGGGATTACAGGCGTGAGCCACCATGCCCGGTAATTTTTGTATTTTTAGTAGAGATGGGGTTTTGTCATGTTGACCAGGCTGGTCTCAAACTCCTGCCCTCAAGTGATCTGCCTGCCTTGGACTCCCACAGTGCTAGGATTACAGGTGTGAGGCACACACCCAGCCCAGGGAGACCCTGTTTCTACAAAAAAATTTTTTTAATTAGCTGGGTGTGGTGACATGGGCCTGTAGTCACAGTTACTTGAAGAATCCCAGCTGAGGCAGGAGGATCGCTTGGGCCCAGGAATTCAAGGCTGCAGGGAGCCATGATCGTGCAACTGTGCTCCAGCTTGGGTGACACAGTGAAACTTAAAAACAAAAATTATGAAATGTCCTTTCACCCTTGCCCAAAAGAGATTACTCATACAATCAAGATGCCACAGCTAGTAATTGGTAAAAAGTGACTAATAACAAGATCCTCTCTCTGTTGTGTTCTGTCAACTCTTCCTTCTAAATCATTATTAATTTATGGCAAGGAATGATGCTGTAACAGATAGAGGATATGACCAAAGGTTAAAAATACATTCCTCGATGATTACGGTAAGGAGAACCACCTCCGAGTGTAGAATTTATAGGACATTTCAACCCCTGTGTTTCTATAATGGGCTTTTCTTTTCTTTTGAGACAGGGTCTCACTCTGTTGCCAGGCTACAGTGCAGTGAGGCTATCTTGGCTCAATGCAGCCTCGACCTCCTGGGCTCAAAGCGATCCTCCCACCTCCACTCTGGAGTAGCTGGGACTACAGGCGCGTGCCACCTCACCCAGCTAATTTTTCCATTTTTTGTATGGGTGTGTGACTTTTAAATGTGCCTCTTTCTCAACAGACTTCTTTTCGTCCTTATAAGAGATATAATCCTCAATATACTTAGTATTTAATGAACAATAAAAGTATTGTTTCTCAAATCTGTAGACAATTAGGGAGGAGGTCTAATTTGCTATCAAAGCTTCAGGAAGGTATTAAATGTTTTCTTTGGCTTTCCCCTATGGCTTAATGTACTTACAGAGTCAATGACTGGTTTTTCCATGCCAACTTTGAAATCCTAACCTGGTTTCCCTTAGTTACCTTAGATTTATCTGGATGGCATTCTCTTTATCCTACTGTTCCTCTCAACCCCAAGTTTGTGAGTTAGTGACTGTAGATTGGTCAACATTTGCTTAAAGAGTAATGAACACAGCAAATCTGCTATTATTCTAATAGAAAATCATTAATTAGGCTGGGTGCCATGGCTCACGCCTGTAATCCCAGCAGTTTGGGAGGCCACGCTGGGAGGACGGCTTGAGCCTAGGCATTTGAGACCAGCTTGGGCAACATATCCAGATCTTGTCTCTACAAAAAAAAATCAAAAAATTAGTCAGGTATGGTGATGCACGCCTGTGGTCCCAGCTACTCTGAAGACTAAGGTGAGAAGATCGCTGGAGCCTGGGAGGTGAGGCTGCAGTGAGCCGTGATTGTGCCACTGCACTCCAGCGTGGGCAACAGAGACCCTTTCTCCAAAAAAGAAAAGAAAATCATGAATTCATTCTGCATTATTGACACTTCTGCTCTGCTCTGATTTCACATATAAGAGTGAACAGATTGCACTTGAGGCCTCGTGGGTACTTGCTGTAATAATGGGTGTAACCCAAAATAGTAAAGAGGAGGAATGCACTTCCTATATCTTGCAGTCTGTTTCACTGTAGTGGTTGGTCTGTCTGTGTGTGTTTACCTGGGAGGTAGGATATGGGGCCAGTGGGCTGGTTGAAGACAGCTGTCTGCTGAAACCTTGATGTGCTTCGGGGCCAGGAGAAAGGGTGAGAGGACTGACGGGAGGCTGCCGACGCCGAGATGGGCCACTCAGGTTTGTGGTGGAAAGAGATGGGTTGCTAAGGGAAAATAGACGGAGTGAAGGGTGAAGAGCAGATGCATTGGGAACAGATGTCTGCGGGTGGTTATTTAGGGAAGAGGAAAGCACAGTCTTATTGAGCGTGGCTTGGATGGAGGGGTTACTCCGAGAACTCTGGAGACCTGGAAGACAACAAATTCACAAGTTACTTATAATTTCAGACCAAATCTTTTGTTTTCCAGAAATGAAAGAAAACTGTCTACTGTCACATGTGACAATGATTCTGTAGGTAAAGGAGCTCCTGGACAACTCTCCTACAGGGACAGCATCCGATGCACCAATGGCAAGGAAAAGATGCCCCTGCACTAACAGAGACGGGGCCACCAAGATGAGA